TCCAGACGATCATCAAAAAGCAGTGTACAAGCTCAGAATCTTCAGGGAAGTGCCAGAGTGATACGTGACCACTGTGCTGACTGGCATAACTACTTGCTTAAGTGGGAAGAGTTGAATGATGCGGGAGTGACAGTTGCTAAAAAGATAGTCAATCGTAAACTACAAGCTGAGTAAGTTGTGCACATCATCATAATCTGCAGTGGCAGATCCAGGGATTTGAAATTGAGGAAGGGAGGCCTTTTTCCAGGGTGGGGGTGGGGAGTTATGGTTCATACCACAGTGTTCTCCCAATTGAAAATTTTTTACTGGTAAATTTGTCCATATTGAGCCAGCTAAGCGCACACAACTTGAGATATTGCCAATTTTAAGTGGAGTTAAATGGCTTCAAAAAACAATAATACGAAATCATAGCTTAGGCCTGGAAAGGAATGATGTTCGTTTATTGAAAGAAGGCCAGCCTAGCCAACCTAGGCCTAATAATGTGCTTTTTTATTCTACCAACACAATTTTTACTGGTTGGTCAGTTATTTTTACTGGTAAAATTGACCAGTAAAACGGCTTCGGGAGAACACTGTACCATACGATAATGCATACCACCATTTACAATTATGGCTGGAAATGGTAATCTCAGATTTAAAATTTGAATATAATTTTCTTTTTTTCTAAATTTTTTTAAATTTTGAAAAAAAACCCAAACTTACAGGGACATTATCAACAGCAGCAACATTTGAAATTACAATAAATGTTTATAAAATCAGCAATATCAATATGACCAGTATTATCAACATCATCATCACCATCACCATAGGATAGTAGATCACTGCACACCATAATCATGCCAAGTAACATAGTACAATATATCAACAATGCAATTAATCATTGATTGTTTTTATAAGATCACATAACAAAACTAATTATAGTATCACCATATACATTGTCAGAAAGGATTTTTGTTTTTAATACTTAATTTTTCCAAACATCAATTCATCTCTATTTGTTTATGGGCCGAACAGCTACCAGTCTGAAGCAAGTGAACCAGTTGCTGTTCATTTACCAGGAGGAGCAAATAATTCAACAGCATTTACTAGGCAACATGATGGTATGCCAGATGGATTGCAAGAACTCTGCTATGATCTACAGATGGCTTTTGATGGCCAGGTGAATATGAGACTGTCTGACCCCCAAACATTCTCTCCCACTTCCCCTCCCACCATCCTCCATGTTTTCATTTTCTCACTGGACTTCTCCCCTACAACAATTAATATAAATTATGTAAATCTTATACAGTATTCATTTAAGGCATGGGGGGAAATTCCGGGGGAAATTTTCCTTCGGGAACAATTTTATTCTGACTAGTCTTGGCCGATAGGGATTGGCTTGCTCGACAGGGTGGGGTAATTTATTTTTGTTAAACTAAAAAATTAATTCTGTTTTTTTAATGCTTGAAGGAAAAGCTTGTCCAGAAAATGGTAAAAGTGACTAAACATTTGAAAGCCACCATTGGACTGCAAGACTCGCTTGACAAAAGCTCAACGCAAATCCTTTTCCAAACATGGCCAACTAAGTATTTCTGTAAGTACTGTACATCATTATGTAGATCAGTGGCAGTTGTATACAATGTGTTTTCTTAAATTTGTTAATTTGATACATTCTATTAACCAATCACAGGATGTAAAGCTCAGGATGACTACATTTTCAACAGGCATAGGATAATGCAGGCTCTCCTAAGTTGTCACCAGAACCTGGGACTACCAAACAATGGAGTAATATTTAATTGATTATTTTCACTGAAAATCCACATTAATGCTGAATACCATGTTGAAATATAAACATCCTTAGCTGGCTATTTACATTGTATTGTATATTCTGATGACGTGGATATTATTCTGATTTGTTCTGCATTAATAAAAATATTAGCAAAAAAACCAAACATGTAAAATACATGACTATTTTATATTTACAGATGAGACATCTCAAGAACTGCTGTCTATGTATTCCAAGGAATTATCAGTTAAAAAAGCTGTGTTAGAAAACATTGCACATTCAAAGAGTAGGGATGTGTTGATGATGTACGTAAGCACATGGCAGATTCAACCGTACATTGGAGACAGAGCCAAACTGTTATTGGAGGCTATGCT